GATGTCTTTATGAAGCAATAGGAAACACACTAGCCGCGAGACTAGACGCGCTCAAGGTGTCGCCTAAACGCACTCTCACATACATCAACTCAGTCATGCTACTAAATAAGCTCAAGATGACGCCTTTACGCGACAACATGAGACTTCCTAGTCGCGAGACTAGACATGCTCAAGATGTCGCCTAAGCGTGCTCTTGGTCGACACTCTAGTCGCGAGACTAGACACGCCCGAGTTGTCGCCTAGATGTGCTCGCGACTAACATTCTAGTCGCACTACTAGGCGAGCCCAAACCGGTACATTTACGCGACAATGGAGGACATCCTAGTCGCGAGACTAGACCTGCTCGAAGTGTCGCCTAAACGTGCTCATGATCGACGTCCTAGTCGCGAGACTAGACCTGCTCGAAGTGTCGCCTAAACGTGCTCATGATTGACGTCCTAGTCGCGAGACTAGACCTGCTCGAGGTGTCGCCTAAACATGCTCATGATCGACGTCCTAGTCGCGAGACTAGACCTGCTCGAGGTGTCGCCTAAACGTGCTCATGATCGACGTTCTAGCCGCGAGACTAGACATGCTCGAGGCGTCGCCTAAACATGCTCATGCTCGACGCTCTAGTCGCCAGACTAAACATGTTCGAAGTGCCGCCTAAACGCGCTTGTGATCGACGTTCTAGCCGCGAGACTAGACGCGTCAGAGGTGTCGCTTAAACATGCATTCTTGCAAGTTTCCCCATTTGATCAAACCTGATCCATAAATTCACTTAGAATCCTACGGACTCATAAGTGAACTGGGGGGACTTATTGTAGGAGATGGGTTATACCCCTCCACAAGGCCCATCAAATGAGGGAAACTTAGCCTAACATGACAATATACTCGGCCCACCGGGTAACACCAAAACGACTCGGTATGAGACGCGTTTAGTAGCGCGACTAAACGTGTTCTAGAAGAGTCGGCGGAAGCACGATTTACCCGAACTACTAAACGGGCCTAGCAGTAATAAGGCCCAACAAGGCTCGGGTAAGTTAGGGCGAACACGAAGATTGGATCTATAAAAGGAGAGAGGCAGCAAAGGGAAAGGGGATCGGGAATTGGACATACTCATTTGGCGGCTAGATCTAGGGTTTCTTAGTGATTAGGTGGTTAGATCTAGGGTTTACTCACCCTCTCGTTTAGTCACCTCCCTGTTTAGTCACCTTCCCGTTTACTCACCATCTTGTACTCCCGACTAGTCCGTCGATTTACTCTCCTCTTTGTAACTCCTTGTTCAGATCTAATAAAAACGTCTTTGTTCGCCCTCATCTCTTTCTTTATATTGTTTCGAACCATTTTCACCTCAAACAGTCACTGGTCAGAGAGACCCAGAATATCAAAAATAAGTAGTATAGTAAATTATCATCTTTTGATGTAGTGACTATAAAATGAACATGTACACGATATTTATGACGCACCCTAGATTTTGTTCATATATATATTTTTTGAAACCCCTAAAATGAGTTGTACCAGCTTGTCAATACCCGGGAACTTCACGGTCGACCTAAAATGATTTTTCATTGTCTTAATTATTTGTGCAAGTCTCTATGCATCTACCTACTTGTACGCTTCATTTTGACTTTTTAAGCTTCGTCAATGTTTTGCTTTTCTTATTAGTTTCTCCTTTAAAAAATGATTGTGCACAGTGCATGACTATAATAATCCTCATATGAAAATGTTTTCCTTGTATCATTCTACAATAATCAGTTACTTAAGCGGAATTATATTCTCAACATATTGTTATCTGGATTCTCTCCTACAGCTGAAAGTCATATTAAAGAACGCGTAAAATGCAATGTAGATCAAAGTTTAAAAAATGCAATGTAGATAGTTTGTGATTTTTTCCATCCTCATACATTAGTTCCACGTTCGATAAATGTTTATTCCCTCTAGTACGTAAAATGTTAATTAATATTTATTCATTATGTAGGTTTCAAGTTTTTTTCTAAGTTCGTCTCCTTTTTTTTTCTTTGATCAATCTAAGTATGTCTCCTATGATCCTATCCATCACAAATTGTAAATATAGGGCCGATATAACTGGGTTTCACAGATATAACATTATTGGGCCTTAATTTATGTTAGAGACCAGATAACATATAAATTATTAGGGAAACCATTCATTACACTACAAGTCTACTACACAACATAATAGAACCCCCACAATACTTTCTCAGTTTTTATGTCATATATGCGAACCAACTAGGAAAACATAATATTTCTTTCCCCATTCGTAAAGGAAGGAATAAATCTTGCTGACCAGTCGTTATGTTTAATTTCAAAAGTTTGCATTTACACATTAAATAATAATTTACCAAAAACTATTAACTTATAATCAAGGTTACAACTAGGGGTGTGGACATAATACCCAAAATCCAAACTCGAACCAAAGTGAGCGGAATAGATCAGTTTTGAATCCTTTAAAATACCTAAATGAATCCAGATTATATTAGATCAGCCATAACCTTTGCCCTATCTCAACGTTTCGATTCGATTTTAGTACTCTTAGATTCTTAACTGCTTATCAACACTATCAACAGGAAGGAAATGAACCTGGAGATTTATGGAGTATTAAATGATATCTACATCCTATCTACCTTTTTCAACGCTCTTGTTTTTCAATTCATCCCAAGATCAGTAAATGTTTTAGATGATCAGGTTGCAAAATAGGCATTGGGATTGGTATTAAACCCTGTTTAAGTTTTTCTATGAACTTAAGGTTGCAAAAAAAAAGACATCGGGTTTGGTATCGGATAATTAAATCCAAAAACCCAAGATAAAACTTAACTGAAATGCATGGACATGTATACATATACAGTATATCATATGATATATTTTGTATTTTAGTACTAATTATTTATTCAACTCTCCCTAAAGTATATGCTATTATATTTGATACTTAATCATCTTTTTTTTCATCATTTTTGTTTCTTTTATTTGTAGACTTTGGGAGTCTATATTAAATGATAGAAAATTAAGCTTGTTGTTTATCTCATGCACGAGTTGTTTCAATTTCATATTCCAGATGTTGTTTCTTTCTTTTTATTAGTTTTGAATCTCCTTTATAATTCCACATTATAGATTTGTCACATTGAAACCGATGTTAATTGTTATGCTTAAGATTTGATGTGCAACTTTATTTCATTATTTTGTTTTGAAATGTTATTTTGTTAGCAAGTTTACTTCGGTTCTGAACCGAATCCATAATGTTATAAATCGAATTTGCCCTGAAATTTTATAAAATTTATAAGGTATCCGATTATCCGAATGCACACCAACTACCCTACCTAAAAAAGTCATCACATTACAAGTTTTTATTTCGTCGTATAATTATAACTTTCATTTTTTTGTTCATGATCCCATATGAATTATTTGTATCCCTCTAAATCCTCGCCACATGGACCATTTATTAAGAACATCTCCAACGGAACACCGTTGGAATCCTTCAAAAAACTATTTTTTTATTTTTTATTTGTTCAAATTAAAAAAAACATATATCAATCAATTGCGGGCTGTCATGTGTTGTGCGGATCTGCGAATGGTGCAAGGATTCGCTAAGAAACAGTCTTTGTTTAGGAATTTTAAAAATCGAATTTTTAAATTTTGTAAAATCTATTATTATTTAATTATTTTTTTCTAAAAACTTCTCTCTAAGGAGTTTCGTTGGAGGTGTTCTATGTTCATGTTGGTAAGCAGACTATGCCAAAAGGAAATTATTAAATCCTGAATATGGTGCAAGGCTAGTGAGCAGAAAATTGATAGGGCATCCACTTTTGTATTTCCCTAGTTTTTATATGAATACAAGAATTGAGGTTTGTTTGTGTTTTTATGCGTCGGTGGGATCTGACTTTGCTACAGCGTTTGCTAGCCGGAATTTGAAAATTTCTATATACAATAATGGTAGTGTATGGCTCAATGGGTAAGAAAACGATTTCATATAATTAGCAGGACCAACCATGCTGCCAATATATTATTTTATATGTAAATGCTTGGTCTTGTCGATAAATGATTTCCAAAACCATGGATAACATCGCAACTTGAGAAAAATGCAAGTAAATATGAAATTTTGGAAGAGTGAGAAAAAGTAAACCGTGAAGAATAATATTCTTTTACAAAGCAAAAACATCCAAACATTTGTGTTGCAACTTGAACTTTCTGTACTTTTGCATCATATTCGTCATGGACCTATGTATTCTTGTGTTTTCTCCAAAAATAAAAATAAATGATATTTACTACTTTGTTTTCGGTTGACTTGAATATCTAGGATATGATAAAAAAAACTTCGGTAGAAAGTTTTCACTACATATCCAAAATGCTGCCACATTTAGTTTTTATTTCATACCAACGTTAACGACAATTTCAGTGACAGTAAAGAACTAAGATGTGAGAAGAGGGATTAGATAAATTATTTTATCAGCAAAACATACATAGCATGCGGTTATTCTTCCATAAACGTACCTCACATTCATTCATCAAATAACGATTGATCTTAAGCATCTAAATTAACTGTCGTTCAACCTGTGTTTGTCACATTAATTGTTTTAGACTAACCAGATTTGCAGTTTGAATCAATAGGTATTCGATAATGTGCTTGACCACCTTGGTTTGTGCATACCTGAATAATCTCTACCCAGTGGTAACTACTTATTCAATTCTTTGCCGAAAAGGATAGTCATACATCCATCTACGCAATTCGGACACATACACTATAATGTCCGAAAATGACCTTACCATTGTGAAATATCCAAATTAGATCTGCCACTTATTATGGCAAAGTAGGTAGTTGAGACAAATGCATTAATCAGACATCTAAGTTATAAAGGCCTATCTAAATCTCTTGTTCTTTCTTTCTTTCTTTCTTTCAATCAGTTTATATAAGATATGTTTGCCCTCTTTCAAAAATACTATTTGTCGTATTTAACCAAAAGATCATCAAAAGAACATCTTGAACTCTTTGCTTTTGGCTTTTGTTGGTCACCGACACAAGTAAACTCGAATCAAGCGTTAAAACCCCTAGTGGCTGTTGTTGGTGCGTACTTACAATATCATTACGTTTATGCTTAATTACCGCGTCTCATCTTTGCCAGGCTGGCTCTCTAGACAATATCTGCCCCCATAATTATTGTAAATAGCCCCAAAAATACTAATATCAGAAAACTTTATACATCAATAAAAATATCTTATAACACAAGTGACGACAAATCAACAATTAACACTTACCATTAACGAATTCTCCCTGCAAATGTCGAAACTACCCCCAAATCCGCCATTAACAAATCTAACAAAAGCCACAAAAAGCCGCTTCTCTCTTTCACACTCTTGTCTCCACTCAGACACTCACTTCAAACTTTCAAAAAAATGTCGGTACTGTGTTTGCGTTTATGTCTCTTTCTGCTATTACCAATCGCGATTAGCAGCGTCTCCACCACCGACCTCCCTTCCTTTCGAGAAGCCCCGGCGTTTCGAAACGGCAGAGAATGCTCCAAAACGACATGGTCACCGGACGACCGCACACACAACCCTTCCATCATCCACATCGCGATGACACTCGACGCCATCTACCTCCGCGGCTCAGTGGCCGGAGTCTTCTCCGTTCTCCAACACGCCTCCTGCCCCGAAAACGTCGTCTTCCACTTCATCGCAACGCACCGCCGCAGCGCCGATCTCCGCCGCATAATCTCCTCAACTTTCCCTTACCTAACCTTCCAAATTTACCACTTCGACCCTAACCTCGTCCTCAGCAAGATCTCCTCCTCCATCCGCCGCGCGCTGGACCAGCCTCTGAACTACGCCCGGATCTACCTCGCCGACCTCCTCCCCGCCGCCGTGCGCCGCGTGATCTACCTCGACTCGGACCTCGTCGTGGTCGACGACGCGGCGAAGCTATGGAGGATCGATCTCGGCCGCCACGTCGTCGGAGCGCCGGAGTATTGTCACGCGAACTTCACGAACTACTTCACCTCGAGGTTCTGGTCGAGTCAGGGTTACAGGGCGGCGCTGAAGGGGAGGAAGGCGTGTTACTTCAACACGGGAGTGATGGTGATCGATCTTGGGAGGTGGAGAGAAGGGAGGTTCACGGTGAAGCTCGAGACGTGGATGAGGATACAGAAACGGCACCGTATCTATGAGCTGGGGTCTTTGCCGCCGTTTTTGCTTGTGTTCGCGGGAGATGTTGAGCCGGTGGAGCATAGGTGGAACCAGCATGGGTTAGGAGGGGATAACTTGGAAGGGCTTTGTCGTAATTTGCATCCAGGGCCGGTGAGTTTGTTGCATTGGAGCGGGAAAGGGAAGCCGTGGCTGAGGATTGACTCCAGAAGGCCTTGTCCGTTGGATTCGCTTTGGGCTCCGTATGATTTGTTTCGTTATTCACCGTTGATATCTGATAGCTGATTAATTAATTAGTTTATCATTGGACGGTGGAGAGAGTTGTGTAACATAAAACGTTTTGGAAGCTAAATTCATTTGGGCCAGTGATAGGCTTTTGAAACATTGGGCTTTTAGATTTAAAGTTAGCAAAGGAAGGCTTAAGAGTTTGGGCCAAGAAGCCCACGCCTTTTGTGCCAGGATATTCCACAAGTCTACAAATTCTTTAGTTGCAAATGTCTTGGGTAGTGCTATATATTAATCTTTGAAGTATCAAGATTTTGAAGACTTTTGATGCATATTTAAAGTTTAAGCTGTCCTTGTTTGGCTGATTATTATACACGGAAGGTACCGGCCTTAAATATCCTTTTGTTATATCATAATTCGTGCGCCAACCGAAGAGTACTAATTAGTTAGAGATTATTATTAATACTAATAATCATCATCACCTAACGCATTCTTTGATTAATGAATAATGATGATGCATTCTCAGTAAACGAATCTCGACATGCAGGCCACGTCATGGACATTTTTATAAGAGTCAGACACTATATATACGAAACGGACAACTATTTTAAAGTAATAATTCATTACGTTTGTACAAGTTTACCAAAACTGAAATGCATAACCTATACTTCTAGAGCTTGGAGAATTCTTGTATAGACTATAATATACGTACGTGCATCATATTGAAGAAAAATATATTCTCTTGATATTAAGCATTAGATAAGTCGTATGTTTACTAACTGTTATGGCAGTTTAATACACACTATATTAATTATGAAAAAGTAGTACAATTCTAGAATGAAAATAAAAGAGCATGTTTTCTACTTTTGTTACAACTATTCTTACATCACAGCACACCATAGAATTTGAATTTATGCGTGGAAGGTCTAATAGATTATTGGTATACTGACGTGGATCCAACACGTATAAAACAAGAAAATATAGAATGATAAATTATAAAAATCTGAGAAACCTAACTTTTCATATCATCCACGGAATTTGACTGTGGCCACAACTAATTAATATTATTGTCTTTCATGCACTGATATTTTTGATATTACTTTTGAGGACATACAAAATATCGGAAGTTGATAACTATATTTTGATATATATATATGATCAAACGGCAAAACTTTTTAGTGATTTTATTTTACAAGATTTTGGGTAATTTTGAGAAGACTACTTTTATAATATATTGTATTGATTTTTGTATTTGACATGCACATATATAAATTCAATAAGACGAAACACCTTTTGGTTAATTATTTACTTTTTTAGACTTTTATTTTAGTACGCATCAACACTCTTTGCATGACAATAAGATCGATCTAATTTGATTTTGAACTCATCTCGTATAGTACATGTCAACTATATATTTGAAGACACATCTAAATAATTTTCACGGTCACTGACTGTCTTAAGTTTAGAAGCTTCAGTACGTAGTTCTGTTATGAGAAAACCTTATAGTTTTTTTTTTTTTTTTTGGTAAATGAAAACCTTATAGTTCTGCCGATAGCTTATTATAAAAGTCAGCTAAAAGCATTTGTTACAACTTTTTTCTAACAATAGAAAGTAAAAAATATCAATCAACTAAAGTTACTAAACTATGAAGAATATTCTTATCTTCCTTATTATAAAAATCGTAATATTTGAATTTCGAAATAACATAAGATATTACGATCTAGAAGCAATCTTTAACCAAATCATAGTAATAATCGATAAAAAATACAACTTATATATAGGTGAAAGGAGACAAACCATCTTCGTCTGCTTGAAAAACTCTCAAAATAATCAACCAATAATAAAATACAATCCGCCACGTGTCATGCATGTGTGCCTTTTATACATACCAACAAGAGAGACAAATAGGGCATAGATGTTTTGGGGGTTTTGTGAAACTGTGACCATATAAACCATTCAAATTTCAATGATAATAAATTGCAATAACACAAGTGGGTAGTGAAAGAGAGGTGTGTAGGGTCACATTTCTATCCTTCTCTTCTTCTATAAAAAGTCTGTTTTTCTTATGCATCCTCATCATTTATATTAATTCTCATCAAACCCTAAGAAAAGAAAAATTGTTTTCGTTTTAGCCAAAGTCTTTGAATCAATATCGAAGATGAAGTTGGGATCAAGTCAAAGCATGGGAAGTTCAAAGAGAAGGGTGTCGAGTAGGGGACTTGGAGCTGTTCTTAAAGAACAAAGAGCTAAGCTTTACATCATTCGAAGATGTGTTGTCATGCTTCTTTGTTGGAACGACTAATGATTCTCCGCAGATTTTATTATCTCACTCATTTCAATCAAGATCGGTATGTATAAAAGGGTTTGCTGGTTGGAAAGAGACCCCTTCGTTTCGAAAATGCCGAAGAACCTCGGCTAACAAGGTCGGTTCGGATCCAATTGATGCTATATTGTGGAAGAATCGGTAAACGATTAGCTTCTTTCGGTTAGGTCTCTCTATTGGTTAGCAGATTCTTGTTGTTTGGAGAAAATATTGAAATTTAAATTACAGTACTTACAGGAAGGGAAGGGCAATATTGTAAATATTGACGACATCATAGAGAGAGTTGACAAAGTTTTGTAATAGCTTTTGGCTTTGTTATATGTCGACATGCTAAATATAAACGTTTTAAGGCTATGTAAATTGTAGTTCTCGAATTTCTATAGTTGGTATTATCTTGTTAGGTTAACTAAGGTATTGATTGAAATCTATCATAATAATATCATTATATGCTTTCGATCATGCAGTTTGATAATATGTTTTCCGGGATGAATTGTGATAATTGATATTTTATAAAGCAATCATTCTTATGAGCAAGTTCTCTAGAACCAAATACTTGATTTTGGTCAACTCAACAACTCTCTTCTTATGGTGTATGATTCAAGGTCGGCAATGATATTAATTTTTAAAATAGTGAAATCACAATTGAGGTTTCTTTAGTTAACTGTTGATTATTGCTGCCCCACGCATGGGGATGGGTTAAACTAATCTAATTAATTCCGACACACCCGAAACACTACTAATTTAGTTCTTGTGGTGAACGACCACCATTTTTCACAAAAAAGAACTACAACTATTTGTACTGATTTATATCTGTTAAATTATTGATATAATTATTCAAAATGCATTTGTAATGAGACGAATAGAGATCTGTTTAATTTACACGAATATAATATAACCCAAGGGACACAATATTCCTTAGTTTGTTTGGGCCCTTATGCAACCTGACATTATCAATATGTCATTAGGTGCTAAAATACTTAAGGTGGAAGACCCGTCGCATCTTAATCGTATTCTATTAGAAAAAATAAATTTTGATGTATTATGTAATCAGTGGTTGAATGATTAGTTGATTACGTAAAGAAAAAAGGACACAAATGTTATTTTAGTAAGAAACAAAAAAAAACCCCGGACTAATCCGATCAATAACTACAGAAGTTGAGGCGCACCTAATTTCGTTTAGGATCTTGAAATAGAAATTACGTCAAGAATAACAACACCATCCTATCAGACATATCTCGTCTAAATTATCACCGATATACATAAAGATTCATAAATTATCATAACAGAGGAAATTAAATTAGGTGACCTAACCGTAACATCCCTAATATCATAAAAGAAAATGACTGAGTCCATTTTTTCTGATTAAACTCGAGAAACGTTTAAATCCTTTACAAATGTACTAGAAGATCCAACTAGCTAAAGACGAAGTACGTTGACTAGTCAAATGAAGACATGGGTAAGGCAGGCCACGTGCGGCGGTCCTACCATCGTCGCCGTCGTGACCATAACCAGTACCGCTCTCTTCTCTCTTGTCTCTTTCACTTCTTCTCGGGCTACGAACTTTTTTGGTATACCCTAATAAATAAAGTTGTAATAATTGAGCCACTCGCTTTTCAACCTAATGGTTTCCCTTTGTACTTGCTTATTGCTAGAACTAAATTTGATTTTGTACTTCTCATTCAGAGTTTATTCTTTTAGCTAGTACCCTATTAAGCTAAACGTTTTTTTCCTAATTGTCGTTCTCGATTGGTTTTAGGGTAGACAAACAAAAATTTACACACGTGAAGAGCAGAAATCTTGTTTCATTTGTTCATTAACTCAATTACATCAGTTCTGAAGTATAAGAGACGAGACAGATCAAAACAAAAACATTGTTCGGAATAAAGCCGGAAAAACGAAAAAATAATACTCCAGTGTTTTCATCTACTCTTGATTATGCTTTATGGTTATTGTTATATTGACAATATTTTATTATTAATAATAACTAATAACCATACTTCTACTGATTTTCTATCGAAAATAATAAATAAGACTAGATTTTGACCCGCTCAACCGAGCGGATGTTTAATTTCATTTATAAATATGTATATATATATATATATATTTATTTATTTACATCAGTATTGGTATATATTATTCATATGTCTAAATGTTTATAAAAGATTCTAAAAGATTTAGTTAGAATTCTTTTTAAAATATTTATTTTATTTCAAATAAAAGAAAATATATCAAAAGATATTGTAACTAAGTTAAATAAAATGTTATTAATATATATATGAAATATTACTTTCTAGGAATGGTCCATTTTTAAAATATCACACATGAAGAGAAGTTGTGACTTCTCTTTTAATATAATAGATTGGAAAGATTTACCAAATGATAACACACATTTCCACGAAGCTACAATTTCGGACCGAACTAAAGACGAGGCAGAACTTTTAGATATACCTCTTTCTCTAGTCATGGAAATGTTGATCACTCGATGCAATTAAGTCCATAAAATTACTCGAGAACAATCCAATTCTATTATACTATTAGTTCATAATAGTACCTGCAGCCCCGATCCCAATTTGGTTTTAAACAAAATTCAGTGTACCAAGAAACGAACAAGAGTTGGCCTACGATGTCTCAAATTACAAATCAACTAGCTAGTTTTTTATTTATAACGTGTTTGTCTTGTCTTTGGACTCTTCGTTATGTTTGAGTAGCTTCTATGACTTTTTGTTGTTGATATTATAGCTATACAGAGAAAACTATTCAAACACTATTCTTCCGGCCAACTCACTTTTTAATTTCGTGTAATTTAGTTGTTTATTTTGCTTTTGTCCACGAAATCTAGAACATTTTGGGCTTCTTTCCAAGTGCCTTCCATTTTCTGTTCTTCTTTCTTATAACATTACATATGCTTATCTTATCTGAAAGTATGTATATTTTTTCTATATAATATATGATCGTCTTGTCTATGAGACAAGGAGAGAGCTAGAAAGTACTTAGATAAGTCTTTAACTCTACATGCTGGCATATTGCCCGTACTTAACTCCCTAGCAAGCTACATAATTTTTGTATTTCGAACTATGCCCTCCTGACCTCTCTGAGTCTTCTCAAGGCGTATAATTAAAATCTTTGGAAGACATCATAAAATCAAAACGGCCTATTAGCTCAGTTGGTTAGAGCGTCGTGCTAATAACGCGAAGGTCACAGGTTCGATCCCTGTATAGGCCAATTTCTTTTTCCACTTCTGAATTTAACGTCATCATCGCCATCGGCCCAATAAGAATCATTTCCTTAATCATCAACATTCATTCATGGGCCATATTTCCATAACCTTTATACTTATGGCAATACAATACGAAAATAGATGAAACGAAATAGTGTTCTTACATACTTACCACAAGTAAAAGAAGAAGAAAGATAGATGATAGCTTGATGATGAGCTCACACAAAAACACATCGACGATTACTCCTCCTGGTTTCAAGTGCATGGCTTCACTCCAAGAGGAAGCAAATACTTTTGAGATTCAGACATCACAATCTCAAACGGTTGACAAAGATTTGGATTCTTCCAAGCTTTAAATCTTCTTCCCATCTTCTCATAAAACTTCCTAGAGAATCTAAGCTCACCTCTTAGATTGTTTCCATTGATGTATAATGAACCAATACAAGTCAAAGCTTCAAGTTCCAACGGAACAAAACCGGTTAGATTGTTGTCGTTCAGACCAAGAAACCTTAACCTTTTGAGATTGGTTAGACCAATGGGAATCTCACCTCTTAAACCCATTTTGGAAACATCTAAAATGACCAAATTTCTCATCTTCTCCCACTTTATTCCAACCATTTCCTCACTCATTGGATTGTCTGACAACACCAACTCCGTTAAAGATTGCATGTTTTCAATGTTGTTGGAAAGCCCACCAGAGAATCTGTTCTTCCTCAGATCCAATAGTGTCAGATTCTTCAAAAACCCTAGTTCTTGAGGTAGCTTCCCTTCCAAGAAATTATTACTTAGGTCAAGTTTGAGCAATGAAGTCAAGTCTCCAAAAGATGAAGGCAATGTCCCTGATAAAGAGTTGCGGCTCAAGTCCATGATCAATAGCTTTTTCAAGCCTTGGAAACAGTTTGGGATCATCCCCTTGAACGAGTTCCCTGCAAAGACCATTCTCTTTAGACTTTTTAAGTTGCAGATACTCGCTGGTAGCTCTCCACTAAACCCATTTTCAAGAATCACTAAAGACTTCAGGTTTGTGAGGTTGCCGAATGTTTCAGGAAATTTCCCAATGAGGCCAGGATTAGATCTAAACTCGAGCGAGTCTAAGTTAGCTGCAAAGTTTATCCAGCTTTCTTCAGCTATCACCATGGGAGAGATGAAGCAGTTGAAGAAGGAGAGAGATCTTAAGTGTTTGAGCTCAAATAACTCTGGCCTTATCTCAAGACTTGAGGAGCAAGGAAGCGAGTTTTCATGAATAAGCCCTAAACTCAAATCCGTGACATACCACAAGTCATTGTACATGTCACACGAAACACCCTGAAAACCAAAACAAAAAGGTATGGTATATATTTTATTCTCAAAGTTTGGATTATTGTGAAGAGAAACTAAGCTGAAAAAATAAAGGAATGATCGGTGGGCCAATGTGCCCATATAATTGAAGAACATTTTAAGAAACCCCAAACAAACATGTTATATGAAAATAGGGTTCACTTTTGTGCTTAAGCTTTAAACTTCACTACCCGGTTATAGAAAATTTTTAAAGGGGACAAAGCATTTTTGAAGAATTATTGAGACAGCTAGAGAACAATCAATAATCTTTACACATCATCTCAAAGCTTTTTAGAGTTTTGAGTTTGATTCAGCAACATCTAAAGCTCAAAGTTCTTCACTATCTTCAAGAACCTATGTTTCTCTGACAATACTAAAGACTTGAGGGTACATAACATGGCTGCACAAAAGAGGTTTTAATGAAACAGAGAGTTGTAAGAAAAACCTGAATTGGAGTCCAACCACAAGGATCAGGATAGAGATCAGAGCCATTCCAAGAATCACCTACAAATCCTTGAATCGCAGAGTACAAAGCTTCTCGTTCATTTTTATCCATTGGAGCTTGTTCAGACTCAGTTACTTCAGGCAAAGATTCATCTCCAGTACACATAACAAGTAGAGATAGTAAGAGAAGAGAGCAAAACATTTGCCACATCATTGCTCTCTCTAAAAGCACAAGAACAGAGAATAACAGGTGAAAACAAAGCGTGTGATGTGTTTTGTCTTTTTTCACTTTGAGTTTTTTTTGGGTTGGGTCTTGTTATTATTTATCGAGAAGAGAGCGAGAGGTCGTTGGGAAATCAAATTTAGCTTTTTTTTTTTCTCATTACAATTCAAATGGTTAAAAAGTAAAAGAGAAGAATTCTATAGACATTTTTGGTTACATGTTCTACTTTTGTTACGTAAAGTAAAAGCTTTCATTTGTTCCCATAGCCATACATATATGCACATATAGAATGACAATACATTTATCATATGTACAATGTTGTGTATGTAGTTGAGCATGCAGAGAAGCACACATATCAAAGCGTAATTGCATTTAATGGTGTCATCTAATGTTGACAAAGATTTTTCTTTAATGTTTTCTGCTTTTCTGAAAATCATCCTTTGACATTTATTTTGTAATTAATAATATCCTTGTGGATCCTGGTGATGCTTAGGTTCTGTCAATTCGAAAGTACATATATCATTAAACACATGCCTCTAGCTTCTAATTCCCTAACTTCATCCTCCATCAAAAGGGTGTCTTTGGATACAAAGAAGCTATAAATGGTTCTACATAATAAATGTGAAAGTAACATCTCTTAAGAACTCATCCACGTGAGATGGTTATGTGGTGAGAAAAGTCCACAGCTTCTTTCTTATGGATCCTTCACCAGGTCTTGGTGATCCATCATCATCCTCATCATCGTCACCGCCATCATCATCCTCATCCTCATCACTGTCACCGCCATCATCATATTCTTCTTCATCTCCATCCTCATATTCTTCATTTTTATCTTCATTAACTGTTCTCTGCTTCTGATCATCTTCAACAGAAGGGTTCATCGCAATATTAGCTGCTACTTCCGCATTTGCAAGCGAAACACCCACATTGTTATTAGCAGTAGCCATAGCAGTAGCTGTAGTTGTTTCCACCTGCCATGGAACCAATCACACCTTATTAACATGTATGGTTGTAGTCTTGCCATGAACTTTATTTATGAGCAACGTTTTATTCAGGCACGAGTTGTTAGAACTTTAACAAGAATCCACAGAGAAGAGGGAGAGGAAGTTTTTCTTACCGTTACGACTCTCTCAACCCTAACTTCCGAACTTTCCAATCTTGTAGCTGGAAGAGGTTCCACCACAGATTCGCTAGTTCCTTCGACATTGTCCTTGGATGGTGCAGAGGGAGCAATGTCTACATCATCTTTACCACCATTATTTTCAACATTTGCTGGAACTTGGTCTCCGCTGTAGATCCACAAGTATTTAGGACATCAGTGATATATAATTAAGACAATACAATGATAGGGAATGTAAGACTATTACACAAATTATTGAAACTGTATTTCTTACGAAGCGAGACAAAACTAACACAGGGACCCCTTACTCTTTAAGGCAACATATTCTAAACAGATCACGAGAAGCAATATTAATGCCTATAAACAAACTGCACGAGAAGCAATATTAATGCCTATAAACAAACTGTCACAAGATTAAGAAACTTACGTTTTGTTGCGCCTCAGATTGTAGCGTTTTTGTCCAGGGGTCTGCGGCAAGACAGCAACAGCAGTCTGTTGTCTTTTACGACGTCCAGCAGCAGCAGCAGTATCCTCGACATGCTGTCTTTTCCTTCCACCTCTGCCTGTTGTCTTCTCGCTAGTACCAGAAACGTGACCACTCACTTCAGAGTTGGCATGATTGGCCGAACTAGTAGGATTCGTAGAAGGCTTGGGTTTTCTAGGTCTGCCACGTCCACGTCCACGCCTGGCACTTTGAAACTCAGAAAACTGAGAACCTTCAGAAGTTTCTTGTACTCGACTGTCAGTATATTCCTCATCCTCGTCCGGAATTGAGCTACTAGATGGGCGCGGCCGGAGATCAACTGGCAGTGGTTTTTCACCGTTTGTTTCCTTATTAACGGCCAGTGAGGAGGATGGACGCTGCTCAGGCTTGCCTGTGTCTATATCATGCTCAGCTCTTTTACTTGGTGAGAAAAGTATTGAAGTGCACTTCTGCAGTATCGACATGTTGGGCCTTCTAGATCCACCACTTCCTGAAGCGTCTCTGTCTAGAGATTTCTTGATATTACAGGAGTCAGACGCATCAGAACTTTCGGGAAGGTCACTAGGTGGCAGAATAGCTTCTTCTTCGTTATATGGTAGTTGGAGATCAGAGAGTACAAACTCATTCGCCAGCTGCCCACAACTCTCACAATCCTTGAGCTTTTGAACAAATGCTAGAAACCGACCCCTTTCACGAGAAAACTCTTCCCTACGTTTCTTGAGGTTGGTACTCAGTGTACTAAGTTCACTGATGTCCTTCTGCATCTCTGCTTGCTGCTCCTTCAGTTTCTCCTTGTGTTTGGCAATTTCTTCGCATTCCTTTTGGAGAGCACCCCTTTTCGACACCATTTCTTCCATCTCCCTATTCAAAGCCTGCTTACGGTGATTGATATCACTAAGCTCTTTCGTTCTTTTCTCCTCAAACTGAGACAGTCTGTCTTGTAGAGCTTTCTCGTCTTCTTCTTTTCTTTTCTGTTGTTCAATTTCAAGATTCCTCCTCATCGTTTCTAGATCGTCAAGCACCTTAGAATGCTCAAGTTTGGCTTTTTCAAGTAATGCTGAACGTTCGTGCTCCATATTGGCATCAAAAGATTCTCTCTGCAGTCTAATATCGTTCAGTTCCTGCTTTATCTGAACCCTGAAAGCACTCTCTTCTTTCTTCAATCTTTCTCTTTCCAGCATTTGGAACCTCTCAAACTTTGCTTTTTCTTCAGATATTCTCATTCGCTCTTTATTATACTCGGCTTGCTTCTCATCCAATATTTCCCACTCCTTTTCAAATCTCTCTTTCTCTTGCTTCAGATTTTCAACTTCCTTAGAAAGAAACTCCTCGTGGAGTCTTGATTTCTCTATCTGGGACTTGAGTTCAGATTGCAGTCTCTGGTATTCTTCCCTCTCTTCTTTCTTGATTTCAAGGCTCTTGAGTTCTTCTCGAATCACGTCCTCCTTCTTCATCAATTCAGAGCGGATGTTTTCAATCTCTTGTTGTAAATCCATAAGGCTCTCCTTATCAGAATGTAATTGTTGCTTTTCCAAACTTAACCTTTTCTCCTCAGCTTGTATGCTTTTTTCTTTTTCCTTCATAGTTTTAAACTTCGCTTCAAGGTCCATCTCTTTTTCAGTCACTCGCTCAAACTTCTTATTCAGAGCTTGATTTCTTTTCTGCAACTTCTCCTCTCCATGATCAATTTCAACTCTCTTTCGTTCAACTTCTTCCGTCTTTCTTTGGAGTTCCTTGTCCAAAGATTTTCTTGTCTCTTCACACTCTTGTTCAAATTCCAGCATCTTATCCGCTAATTCTGCCTTCTGATCATCAATAAGCTTCTGAATTTCTGTCTGTTTAAAAGATCAAGGTAAAGCTTTAATTAACAACCAGACCCAATTGTTAAGGCTGATAAATTAATTGGCACACAGTAAAAGTTGCAGTAGTAGGAGTTAGTGAGATTACGTTGTCTAACCATAGAGCAGAAGTTTAATGCTATACAAAGAACTATGATTGCACAACAGTGTCCTTAAAACTTACCCCTTCTCTAGCAATAAGCTTCTTTTCAAGTGCTTGTAACTCCCTCTCTTTTGCCACTAGCATGCTCTGGAGTGTGTAAGATTCCTGGGTAAATCCATCACAAAAAAATCATATGAGACAAAACAAGGGTCTAAGAAGCAAATTTTCAGTAAGTTATAAACTAACTTTCTCTTTTGTAGTCAATTCTTGCAATCGCTTATTCAAATCCTCTTCAGTTTCCTTGCACTTTGACATAGACAAAGCAATCTTTCTATCCCATTCTTCAAGCTCTTTCGTTTTCAATTTCAAGCTCTTTTCTTTTTCATTAACCTTTTCCTCTCTCTGATTCAGGACTCTCTTCTGTTCAGGCATCGATTCTTCTTTTTCTTGAAGCTTTTTCTCCCATTCATGAAGGTAGTCTCTTTGCTTGTGGAAAGTCTCCTCATATGATTCTCGCCTGTGTTAAAATAACATACAAGTTAGACTAACAAAAAGATTTATATTTTAGAGTCGTATAACAAATATCAATGTTTACTCTTTAGCAAATGAAAGCCGCTCTTGTTGCAGGACCCTCTCACGAGTCTCCACTTCCTTTAATCTCATTTCCAACTCAGAGCTCTTCCTAGTTGCCTCTGCGAGTTTGCTTTCAGCAGAATAAATCTTGTTTTCCACATCAGAAGATTTCCCGGTCACACTAGCAACCAGAGCATTTGCTTCAGCTAATTTAGCTTCAGAAGTGAGCCTCACTTTGTTATTCTCTTCTTGAATTTCACGAAGAGCCTTTTCAAGCTGTAAAGAAAAAATAAAACAGAATTACATCTCTAAGAAGGAAGTAAGACGTCTAACTAATACACAATTATGATTTACTGTGCCAAACAATCAATGCATCACATAAGTAGGTAAGCTATAATATGAACCATCACGTTATTGCTAAAGTATGATACCTCTTCAACACATTGCTTTTCCAAACCCAAGGCTTTTCTCAAATTTTCTTCCCGCTGTTCCACAGTAGTCAATGCGTAAAGATGTGATGACTGTTCTCTTTTAAGGATCTCTTGAGCTTCTTGTAACGCCTGATTCAGTTGTTCATGCTTCGAAGCCCACTCCTTATTCTCCAAGAGAAGAAGTCCCATGTTATGCTGATAACCATATAACTGCACAAGAAAACACACTCAGTTCTCAACACATAAATACATCAAAAACAACAAAAGCAACAAGACCCATAAGGCAAACCAATCAAATTTACGCAAATGTGTTCATAAAGTTACCTCCTTTTCAAGTGTTGAGATCTTTTCAAGAAGCGCTTCTCGATCTTTCCTCTCCATCGAAGCCTCATCCAACAAACCCACTTCCCTAAACCTTCTCCAATCGCCCATATCCATATCATCAGCCAGGCCTCTGGAGAAGACTTCACCGGTCAGAGTTCCGATAGGAGGCGGCGGAAGAGTCGAATTAACCGGGTCCTCGCTGAAAGCAATCGCCTTTCCCTTTCTATCGGCATTTCTAGGGTTATTAGTAACACCGCCGATACTACGCGTCTCGCTTCTCGGCGTCGTCCACTGTTTTCTTTGCGGCGTGAACATAGTTTCCGAAGAGGATCCACAAATTTTTTTAGATTTGGGAACCCTAATTTCACAATCTCTCTCTATTCCTTTCTCTCTCTACCAATGCAACGGCTTTATGAAATTTCAAGTTCCTCCCTGATTAAAAAAAAAAAAAAATAGAAATCATGGTTGGTGAAGGCGTGAAAAGGTAAAAGACGGATTGATTAACCGAACCGAGTCGGTTTAAGATAATTACATAGCGGATTCAGCGAACGGGCCAATACCAGAAGTCTGTTTTAGGCCCATAAACGTAAACTTTTTTTTTGACATCGGCCCATAAACGTAATCTAAATTTTGAAAAGTGATTAACGAAGATGTGTACGTATAATTAATTACGTATTTGACTCTTGACCGCTAATGAGAAAGTTTTTTTTTTTGTTCTTGCTTTGCTGTGTTTAGTCCAGTTGGATCATCTTAAACTAAATCACACACTCTGATATCTTCCAACGAATGTCCTGACAAAAAGATATAGTTTATGGAGTTGTGGAATTTTGATTAATTCTCCAGTTAGACCTGAATTAATTATTTATGATGATATATCTATACAGAGACTATTAACGGGTTGTGTAGAATTCGTGTGTGGGTGTATGTTTTTGTAAACTATTACTCCCCTAACTAGTGTGCAAATTAACCTAATTATGTTTGTCGTGGAGCTCAAGTTGGGCAATAGAGCTAAACTCATAACATACACTCTATTCACTTTTGTTGCCAAACTATAATATTTCTCGATTTAACTAGTCCGCATTACTGAACTGGCAATAAACTATGAGGTGGAAAATAAATTTCACGTGTTGCAAAGAGTATCAGAAGATAAATTAATCAGGAAATCGAAAACAGGTCATAATCCTCTGGCCCAGGGATCACTGGCAACTAATTATTTAGTTTGATAACATATACTAGTGTCCCTTACATGAGAGAGTAAAAGTCAATTAAACACATAATTCATTTACTAATCAGTACTCCAATACATAATTAGTTTTCCTTTTCTTCACTTTCTTCAAAGCTTCTAATAAGTGAACCATCCACGACTTCCTCTACGGCTCCATTCACATTCGTTCCTGTATTAATAACTCTTATTCTTGTCTTTCTTAAATGAGTTATTTTTGGATTTACTCTCCTAGAATGAAACTCTAATTTTATCAACCAATAAAATAGTGTTATCTATTCTATTAAAATAGAGTCATTTTTTTATCTACCGATACAAGCTATCATTTAAATTTGGACCATTTCTAGAGTGTTACAAATAATACAAGTTATATAGTTGATTGAACCGCATTACGTAAATTAAACCGATGGTTATTTATAGAATGAAATTTTGGGCTTACTTTTGTTTTTATGACATTTAATTGTTTGGTTTTTGTGCTTAGTATTAAAGAAAAACTCCAAAAAACATAAAATAAACTTTCCACATTAATGGATCAAAAATCAATTACTATTTTCAGTCCCAAAAATATTTAATATTTTCAACAAAACAAAATTATCTATTATTAATCACTTATTTAAATCATGTACTTTAAAACATGTTAATATTTTTTATTTTAAATAACAATCACTCCATCTTGATAAATTTGAATGGTAACCTTTAAATAATTTATTGTTTTCTTTTTTTTATAATAATTTACAGATTTAAAAAAAAAATGTAAAGCAAAACCAAAAACCAAATCTAAAAACTAAAATCCAAAAGCAAAAGCTGAAAACGTAGGTTATATTTTTTGTTTTTTTATTTACAAAATAAACTATTTCAAAATTTTTAGAAAATTATTTTTTCATCTTTTCAGTTTTAAATTACATGTTCGATTAATTGAGATTTATTTGTTGGTAATATCAGTTCAAATTAACTTTGCGGGTCTAAAAATTAAAAACCTAAACCAAAAGCTGAAAAATCAAAAATAGAAACTTAAAAACTAAAAAACAAAAACCAAAATTTAAAACAAAATCTAAAAATAAAAAATTAATGAAAAACAACTATCACCACAAATTTTGGTAAACTAATTTTATAGCAAAACATTTTTAAATTATGACAAAACCCAATTATATAAATTTTTAATCATAAAAAATTTCCGCGCTTTTCAAGCGCGGGTCAAAATCTAGTTTTATATTATGTTTTTGTTGCTAAAAAATTATATTATTTTTTTAAAAATAAAAATACAAAAAATAAATAAATAAAACATAATAATATTTACAAAAAACAAAAAAAAAATCATAAAAATATTCTAACACTAAAACACTAAACTTTAAACCCTAAAACTTTGGATAAATCATAAACCCTTTGGAAAAATCTTAAACATTAAATCAAAAAAAATTAATAACCAATTATACTGTTTTTAATTTACTTTTATCCTTTTATTTTGAAAATACAATATAATATAATGTAACGATATTTGGTTTTCATTTTAAAGATATATTAAAAGATTTTTTTTTAAATTGTTTTTTTTGCAATCATTACTGTTTTAATTTATTTTTCTATTTTTATTTTAAAAACATAATAAAATGTTAAAATATATTTTAAAGAATTTATTTCTTTTTTTGTAAATATTACTATTATTTTTTCTATTTTTATTTTAAAAACATAATTTTACTTAACAAGATTTTTTTTCTTTTTTTAAACCGTATTAAATATAAATAACATCATTCTATTGGTTGTTGAATCTAGAAATTTATCATAGGAGATGAATCTAAAAATTTACACTAAGGAAGAATCTAGAGATTCACCCCACGAGATGAACCCAAAAATAAATATTTTAAATGTTTTTTTTTTTGTAAATCATTCTAGAACGTAGACAAACTACGGATTAACTACTTTTCATTTCTGTCAACTTAGATTTGTACAAATCTGATTCTTATTAGTTTCATTTAAATCAAAAGAAACCAGATATTCACCTTTGTCTCTTGCTTCTTCTTCATTATATACCGCAAAGAAAATAAAAATAAAAAACATTGAAAGGTCGTCGTCAATTTTTATTTTTATTTATTTTTTTTTTTTTTTGATAACTCAGGTGTCCGGGGCTTATTTAGAGACCCGATTATCCCCCGAAGGGGTCCTGAAGGCCAAACGGAAACCATGTTAAATCCGCTGTGGCCGGGGCTCGAACTCGTGATGGCGGGCACCTCAGCCGAGGTTCCTTTACCACCAGACCACGAGGCCCGGTTAAATTTTTATTTTTATTTTTTCTTACATAAAAAACGAAGAAACACTCGTTCCACTTCCTTGCTTAGTTGCTAGATCAAATATAATATAAACTACTAACAAACAAATTCAACATTTTCTCTCTTAGATTCTTTATCCAACAGTTCTAAAAAAAACAGAAAACATCTTCATTCTTTTTTCTTTCAAAACATTTCTCTTGTATCCTCCCCGTTTACATTCAGACAAATGGCGGGAGGTCGGATAAGAAGAAGACTACATCTAAGCAACATCTACGCCTTCGGAGGTTGCAACTCCACATTTCAAGAAGACCATTCACAGATCGGAGGACCAGGCTTCTCTCGTGTTGTCTACTGCAACGAACCAAACTCTCCCGCCTCCCAACGTCGTAACTACCCCGGAAACTACGTCCGGTCAACAAAATACACTCTAACTTCCTTCATACCCAAATCTCTCTTCGAGCAGTTCCGTCGCGTCGCAAACTTCTACTTCCTCGTCACCGGAATCTTGTCGTTGACTCAAGTCTCTCCCTACGGCCCCGTGAGCGCTCTGTTACCTCTCGGTTTAGTCATCGCCGCGAGCATGGTCAAAGAAGGGATCGAAGACTGGGGAAGAAAAAGACAAGACATAGAAGTGAATAACCGTAGAGTGAAGGTTCACGACGGAGATGGAATATTCCGGCAAGAGGAGTGGAGGGAGCTTAGAGTCGGAGATGTAGTGAGAGTCGAGAAGGACGAGTTTTTTCCGGCGGATCTTTTGCTTTTGTCGTCTAGCTACGAAGACTCGATTTGCTACGTGGAGACGATGAATCTTGACGGAGAGACGAATCTGAAAGTGAAGCAAGGCTTAGAGGCGACTTCGTCGGTGTTACATGAAGATTCTGATTTTAAAGAGTTTAGAGGCGTGGTGAGGTGTGAAGATCCGAATGCAGATCTTTATGCGTTTGTAGGGACGTTACATTTGGAAGAAGAGAGGTTTCCGTTGTCGGTTCAACAGCTTCTTCTTCGAGACTCGAAGCTTAGGAATACGGAGTATGTTTACGGTGCTGTTGTCTTCACCGGACACGACACGAAGGTAGAGACCAGCCTTTGGTTTTCTGTTTGGTTTGGGTTCTCACTTCTAGAAATTTAAGAACTATTCGGTTATTTACAAAATCCGGTTCAGTTTTGGTTTCGGTATTTAGATTTTAGTCTGGTTCGTAGTAAAGTTGGGAACTAGCTAATATCCGGAAAAAAAAATACTCATTCCGTTTTATATTAAAAGTCGTTTTAGATATAATTTTTTGGTACAAATTAAATGTCGTTTTCGGTTTTCAATGTAAAATCTATTAGTTTTATTATGTAATTAATTTTACTATTAATTGAAATAAGGTTAGATATATAGGTAATTGTGTTTTTATATGAAAAATATGTAAAATTTATTGATTTCATAATTCGTGTGCAAAAATCTAAAACGACACTTATTATAAAACAAAGGAGTATAGATATATAGGTAAAGAACGTAGAATAAATTCAGATTTTTCAGGTTAAATGTCGGATAATTCAGATAAAAATTTAGGATAATTCAGATATTTTTATCGGGTAATTTAGGTTTTTGGGTAATTTATAAATAGTATTTTAAAAGATATTTGATTATTTAGAAACTAAATATAATTGGTATTTTTATGTATATTTTAAAATTTGGGTACTATTCGGTGGTTCTCAGTTTGATTTGGATTTTTCGGTTTCAAAAATATATGATATGTCCAGTATTTAAGAAATTTGGCTCAGTACAATTTGGTTCCGGTTCGGGATAAATGTGTCCATGCCTGGTAGAGACTTACATCACAAGTCTCATACTGAAGTTTCTTTAGTAACAGGTGATTCAAAACTCAACCGATCCTCCATCAAAGAGAAGCAGAATCGAGAGAAAAATGGACAAGATCATCTACATGATGTTCAGCATAGTGTTTCTAATGTCTTTCATCGGATCCATCATCTTCGGTATCGAGACAAGAGAGGACAGAGTGAGAAACACAGGAAAAACAGAGAGATGGTACTTAAAACCAGACGAAGCAGAGATCTTCTTCGATCCAGAGAGAGCTCTAATGGCTTCCATCACCCATTTCTTAACTGCGGTTATGCTCTACAGCTACTTCATCCCCATCTCTCTCTACGTCTCTATCGAAATCGTTAAAGTTCTCCAGAGCATTTTCATCAACAACGACGTTCAAATGTACTACGAGGAGACTGATAAACCCGCGCACGCAAGAACATCGAATCTCAACGAAGAGCTTGGGATGGTGGACACGGTTCTGTCGGATAAAACAGGAACATTGACTTGCAACTCCATGGAGTTCATCAAGTGTTCGATAGCTGGGACAGGTTATGGACGAGGTGTGACAGAAGTTGAGAGATCTATGGCTATGAGAAGCGGCGGTTCGGCTTTGGTTGATGATTTGGAGGCTGAAGTGGACAAGTCTGGTCCTAAGATCAAAGGGTTTAACTTCGTGGACGAGAGGGTTATGAAAGGGAATTGGGTTAAGCAACGAGAAGCAGAGGTTTTGCAGAAGTTTTTTAGACTGTTAGCTGTTTGTCACACGGCTATACCTGAAACAGATGAAGCCACTGGGACTGTCTCTTATGAGGCTGAGTCTCCTGATGAAGCTGCGTTTGTTGTCGCGGCTAGAGAACTCGGGTTCGAGTTCTTTAGCCGCACGCAAAACGGGATATCAATCCGTGAATTGGATCTTGCAACAGGGCAGAAAGTTGAAAGGTTTGTTTTAAAAAAAAAATATCTTTGCGGTTTCTTGGAGGTCAAGGAGATGAACATTGGTCTGTTTTGTTAACAGGGTATATCGGTTACTAAACGTTCTTGAGTTCAACAGCGCGAGGAAGAGAATGTCTGTGATCGTTCGTGATGAAGATGGGAAGCTTCTGTTACTGTCCAAAGGAGCTGACAAGTAAAAATCTTGAGAGACTTCACACTTTCTTAGGCTTCTTTGTTGAATCTTGTTTTGTGTGTGTTTGTGCAGTGTTATGTTTGAAAGACTTGCCAAGAACGGGCGTAAGTTCGAAGAGAAAACAAGAGAGCATGTTAATGAATATGCAGATGCAGGATTAAGGACATTGATACTTGCATACCGCGAGCTTGATGAGGAAGAGTATGAAGAATTCAACAAGAACTTCAATGAAGCTAAGAGTTCGGTGAGTGAGGATCGTGAGAGCTTAATAGATGAGATCACTGATCAGATGGAGCGTGATTTGATTCTCCTTGGTGCTACTGCTGTTGAGGACAAACTTCAAAATGGGGTAAGCCTCTTTTCAAGACTATAGTTTCTTAATAGATTTGTTTTGTAATGTGTTTAATATTGATTGTGTGTTTAGGTTCCCGATTGTATAGACAAGCTTGCTCAAGCAGGGATAAAGATTTGGGTTCTAACAGGAGATAAGATGGAGACTGCAATCAATATTGGGTAAATAAACTTTTGTTATGTTGGAGTCTAAACATTTTTCTTGTTTCATACACCCTCCATTTTAAAATAATGCATCCTTAGACTTTTTTTAAAAAAATTACAGTTAATCATTATTAGTTGATAAAATGAATTTAAAATACAAAATATATATATTTTGAAACCATTTTTTTTCTAAAACATGTGAAACGGATGAAAAGGTTACTAACATTTTTTTTGGAATCTCTGCAGATTTGCTTGTAGTTTACTTAGACAAGAGATGAAGCAGATCATCATAAATCTTGACACACCACATATCAAAGCATTGGAGAAAGCTGGAGAGAAAGATGTGATTGAACAGGTAAGAGTTTTCTTGATATGTTATTTCACACAATTATATAGCACATTTTCGATATAAATGAGTTTTTATACATACAGGCATCGAGAGAAAGCGTGGTGAAGCAAATGGAGGAAGGAAAATCTCTAATCACAAAAGGACCAAGCGGTAAAGACTCTCATGAGGCATTTGCGTTGATCATTGATGGGAAGTCGCTAACGTACGCTCTTGAAGATGATTTCAAGAAGAAGTTTCTTGATTTAGCCACAGGATGTGCCTCTGTTATTTGCTGCAGATCATCACCCAAGCAAAAGGCATTGGTAATGTCTCTTTTATGCGTTTTTAGAGTGTTAGTATGTTTAATTGATAGAAGTTTTTTTTTTTTTTAAGGTTACACGGTTGGTCAAAAGTGGAACTGGGAAGACAACTTTAGCTATTGGAGATGGAGCAAACGATGTTGGAATGCTTCAAGAAGCAGACATAGGTGTAGGAATCAGTGGTGTTGAGGGAATGCAAGCAGTTATGTCTAGCGACATAGCCATTGCTCAGTTCAGATACTTAGAGCGTCTCTTGCTCGTCCATGGTCACTGGTGTTACTGCAGAATCTCATCCATGGTACATCTTCTTTTCTCTAAAACAGATACTATATTCTTTAGATAATCTCTAACTAGGGTTTGTTTCCACTTGAGGCAGATATGTTACTTTTTCTACAAGAATATCACTTTTGGTGTGACCTTGTTCTTATACGAAGCCTACACATCCTTCTCTGCTCAACCCGCTTATAACGATTGGTTCCTATCTCTTTTCAACGTCTTCTTCTCTTCTCTTCCCGTCATTGCTCTCGGGGTTTTCGATCAAGACGTCTCAGCTCGCTTCTGTTACAAGGTAGGGTTTTATAAAACCCTAGATACCTCTAAATCGCGCTATTAAGCTTTGTTTTCTTTCTTTATTTAGTTCCCATTGCTATATCAAGAAGGAGTTCAGAATCTTCTCTTCAGCTGGAAGAGAATCATCGGATGGATGTTCAATGGACTAGCCTCAGCCCTAGCCATTTTCTTCATCTGCAAGCAATCTCAAGAACACCAACTCTACAACCCTAACGGAAAAACCGCCGGTCGAGAAATCCTAGGAGGGACAATGTACACTTGTGTAGTCTGGGTGGTCAACCTCCAAATGGTTTTAGCCATAAGCTACTTCACTTGGGTCCAACACATTGTAATATGGGGATCCATTGCTTTATGGTACATATTCCTCATGATGTTTGGAGCCATGGATCCCACCTTCTCCACAGATGCTTACAAAGTCTTCCTTGAAACCCTAGCTCCAGCTCCATCTTACTGGCTTACCACTCTCTTGGTTATGATCTTCGCTTTGATCCCTTACTTTGTCTTCAAATCGGTGCAGATGAGATACTTCCCTGGTTTCCATCAAATGATTCAGTGGATCCGGCACGAGGGTCAGTATAACGATCCTGAGTTTGTGGAAATGGTTAGGCAAAGATCAATTAAGCCAACGACGGTTGGTTCCACTGCCAGGAGAGCCGCTAGTGTACGGCGTTCCGGTAGGTTTCACGATCAACTCAGTAAGAATGTCATCGCTTTGTCAAGAGAAGAGAAATAGAAATAACCCAATGTTTGTGAATATGTACTTTGTACACAAAGATACAATCTGGTGAAAGCTAGGTTTACATATATTCCTGAGATCAAATTCATCTATATTTTATTATTTTGTATGTAACATTTTTTGTATAGATTTCTTTTTGTCTGATTCAAAGTAATCAAGACAAGTTTTTTCCGTTTTTTTTAACAGATTTTTTTCATCTATATATTAAATGTAAATCATTCCCAAAAATCTCCAAAAATGTTATCTGGAGCTATTCATTTGTTAATCCAACCAATTAAATACAACTAAATATTATAACTAATCCCACTCATAACAACAATCAAAATTTTGTTACATATTAGTAAACTCACCTTTACATCACTTAAAAATATTTATAAAAGATGGTGACTTTAAAAATATTTGACATAAACCATTTCAAATGTTTTAAATGTTCTTTATATGACTATATAAAGTCTATTCAGGTTTTTGGAATAAGTAATGTACATTACCTTTCTATATATATTGTTCTTTTAATATTAAAACTTATTTATAAGAACTAATATTGTGTTTTTGACAACTTGATATACTATGCTAACTTATATATATTTTTTATTAAATTCAGTTAAAAAAATATATATTAGTAGCGACACTAGAATATTTATCACTTATCTATATTGATTTTAAGCGAATTTATAATCGAATAAGGTTAAGATTTTATGTTTATTTTTATACTACCATATTTGCTTTTCGTGATTAACACTCCAATAAAATAAATATCCCTCTAAAAATATTTAAATATGTTAACTAATAGTCCAAAAACAATAGATTAATAACAACTGACATTTTAAGAATCTTTATCCTAATTTTTTGATAATTATAGCACCTCACCCAATTATTATAAATAGAAACTCATACTTAAATTTTCAAAATCAATTCTTTGAAAAAAAATAAGAATAAAAAATGATAAAACATAAACAAATCAATTGTTAAAAATGTGAAACAAAAATAAGGGTAAATTTAAATCAATTTGGAATAAATTGAAAACAAAATCTAATTATTTTTTTTTTGAATTGAATGTTAAATTGAATTCAAAAAAGAAAGACCTTGTTTACAAGTAATGTACTTTTCCTAAAGATTATAAAAAATAAACCAACTCCATCACTTCCTATTATCTCAAGTTTTTCCTTCCATTGCATATAACACACTTCAACCCTTAGCTCTCACTCCTACTAAGGACCTAGCTCTCACTCCTACTAGGATTTGCAAATCTCCCAACCAGCACTCACTCCTACTGGCTCATACTTCTCCCAACATCACCACAAGGCAGAACCCTTTCACCAGCACTCACTCCTACTAGTGCCTAGCTCTCACTCCTACTAGGTTAGGGCCTCCTCTTGTCTTGTGCTAAACCAAAACTGCAGACCACCCTCAAACTTCTTATCCTTCCGTTGAATAATGTAAAAGATATTCCTCACAGTTTTGTCTATAAGCTTCGCAAGAAGATGGTGAGGAGAAGCTTGTTCTCCATGTCTTCTTTTATTCCTTTCTCTCCAAATATAGTGAACAGCAGCCTGAGCAACATATCTGGTCGTGAAGAGAGGGAGTTTCCCCTGATTTTCATCAGAAGTAATACGCCTAATCTCAGACCATCTCGTTGTAAACCTCTCTTGAAGTACTCCCCCCATCAGAGTCTGCCAAATCAAACCAGTGAAAGGGCACTCAAAGAATAAATGATCAATAGATTCTACAGGATGCTGACAAAAACTACAAGAAGTGTTCACTTCTAAACCCCAAGTAGCCATTCTACTACCTGTAGGAAGTCTGTCCAGCAAAGCCATCCAGAAAATAAGAGAGAATTTAGGAGTAGAGTGTTTAAACCATATTGCCTTGTGCCAGTCATACTTACAGTACTTCTCTCTAATAACCTGCCAAGTCTCACTGGTTTTAAACTCTCTTTTATATTTTTCATTCCCATTCTTCCACAATGAAATATCTGTCTCTTCCACACACTGCTTTTCTTTAAACTTTTCGATTTCCAGTTCAACTCTATTCAGCAGAAGGGACCGATGATTTTTCCTCCTATGCAACCTACAGTCTGCAACCTTAGCATTTTCCTTTATACCCATTTCAATATATCTTCCTTCACCCAATATTTCAACCAGACAACCCATTGGTGACCATATTTCATACCAGAAAGAAGCTTTCATACCATTGTGAACTTCCACCATATAGAATTGTTTTGCTCTGTCTCTATGCTTTAGAATTTTTCTCCACATCCACGATCCCAATTGAGTAGTTTCTTTTATCGACCAGAGTGACCCCTTCCGTATGAGATAAGTCTGAATCCATCTAACCCATAATGATTCTGCAGATAAGATTCTCCAAATAAGCTTCAAAATATTTACACAATTCATCTCCTTTAACGATCTGACTCCTAACCCCCCTTCCTGCTTCGTTCTACATATATCCTTCCAGCTTACTCGGGCTTTTTTACTCTTTAAATCAGTGCCAGACCAAAAGAATGCAGAACAAAGCCTTTCAATCTCATGTAGACAACTACTAGGTAATTGAAAGGCCGCCATCCAGAAGTTCACCAGGCTCATAATCACTGAGTTAATTAATTGGAGTCTCCCTGCATAGGAAAGAAACCGACCTGTCCAGGATCCTATCCGCTTCTTGATCTTCTCAACAAGAGGTAGGAAATCCCCAGCAGCCATACGCTTAGTTAATAAGGGAAGACCCAGGTATCTGATAGGTAATTTCCCTGAAGCAAAAGGAAAATGACCAATAATTTCCTCTTTTTTATGCTCACTTACTCCAGCCAAGAAAAGAGTAGACTTTTCTAAACTGATCTTCAGCCCCGACATTTTATCGAATTCCTCGAAGACACACAAAATACCTTCTACTGATCTCTGTGTACCCTCAGCAAACACCAATAAGTCATCCGCGAAACACAAATGTGTAAGACCAATATTTCTGCATTTCGGGTGAAAACCAGTCTGACCCTTTGCTGCAGCTTCATCCAATAATTTCGAGAGGACATTCATACATATAACAAAGAGGTATGGAGATAAAGAGCAACCTTGTCTCAAACCTCTATTACTCTGAAAATACCCAGCAAGCTCACCGTTTACTTGGACTGAAAAGGAGGCAGTAGTAACACATAGGGTGATCCATTTCATAAACTTCTCTGGCAGTCCCATCGCCTTTAAAACATTGAAGAGGAAGGACCATTGCACTGTATCAAAGGCTTTAGAAATATCTATCATCATCGCACATCTAGGGGAGATGTCCTCCTTATGGTAATCCTTCACAATCTCTGTTGCTAACAAAACATTCTCCATCAATAGTCTCTTTTTGATAAAAGCTGATTGGTTCAAAGCAATGCATTTAGGAAGAATCTCTTTTAACCTCTTCGCAAGCAATTTGGAGATGATCTTGTATAACACATTACAGCACGAGATTGGTCTGTAATCCTTCATAGTTTTGACATCATCCTTCTTTGGTACCAGAGCGAGGATGGTTGAGTTGATCCCTTTCGGAAGAAAACCCTTCAAAAAGAACGACTGGATAGCAACCGTAACATCATCACCTATCACCTGCCAAGCTTCTCTGAAAAATTCAGAAGTAAACCCGTCCGGACCAGGTGACTTATTGCCTGGCATCTTAAAAAGAATCTCCCTGATGTCCTCTTTAGTAACTTCCCTCTCCAACATTGCACAATCAGTAGCGCTACATTTAAAATCCAAAAGATCATTCAATCTTTCATCAGTGATTTCTTCAAAATTCCCAGGGGCAGCGTTCAGAAAACTCGTGAAGAATCCTTCAGCTTCTTCCTTTATCTCCACCTCTGTCTTTGCAATAGAACCATCACTGCGTGTCACTTCCCTTATTCCATTTCTCACTTCCCTGATCTTAATCGCATTGTGAAAAAAACGATTATTCCCATCTCCTACCTCAAGCCAATGAATCTTTGATTTTTGCTTATAGTATTCCTCCTCCAAAGTGGCAAGTCGTAACCATTTTTCGTAAGCTGTTGCCTCCTCTCTAATGTTATCAGGGCTTGGACTTTCCAGTGTAACTTTTTGTTTCTCACAAAGAACAAGATAAGCTTCTCTTGTCCTCTTAGGTAAATCTCCCAGCAGTGATTTACTCAACAATCTCAAAGGCTGCTTCAAACTTTTAAGTTGTTTAGTTAGCCGGAAAAGAGCTGAGGTTGAGTGGTAAAGGCCACCCTTTCCCTTCCATACCTCTTCCATTAAGGGTAAAAAACTCGGAGATTTGGCTATAGAGTTGGTAAACTTAAAAGGTTTCCGTTTTTTAGATATCTCCACATCCAGCTGGATACGACAGCGCAGGTGATCAGAACAGCCCCCTGAATCAAAGACACAATATGCGCTCGATGAGTGAAGCCACTTCTCATTCACCAAGACTCTATCCAACTTTTTGCAAATTAATCCTTCCTCTCTTTTGTTACACCATGTGAATTTCGGACCTTGGTGGCCCATATCAGTAAGACCACAGTAGCAAACCACCTCCTGAAAATCCTTCATCCCCTGAGAAACACGAGGATTATCCACGTACCCTGAGTGTTCTTCTCCATCCAATACTTCATTGAAGTCACCCATGATCACCCATTTCTTTTCTCTAAACATCGAAGTGTCATAGTGACTTTTTAAATCTTCCCAAAGAACCTTTCTATCCTCCATTCCATTAGCTGCGTAGATAAAAGAGCAGAAGAACTCCTCCTCTTCTCCTTTAACTGAAACAGAACATGTAATGACCTGACTACTTTTAAAAACCGGAGTCATTCTCACTGTTTCCCTCCAAATAACCCAGATCCTCCCTAAATTGTGGTGCTCATAATTAGTAATGTTGTCCCAATTGTAAAAAGTCTCCTGAATGATTCTACCCGCCTTACTCTCTTTTACTCTAGTCTCAATAACACAACCAAACTGTAAATTCTGATCTCTTACCCAATTTCTAACAACATCTTGCTTAATCTTCTTGTTGAAACCCCTAATGTTCCAGAAGAACCCAGCCATATCAATTATGATTTTTACGAGATCCCCTTGTTGAAATCCCAAGATCACTCTTCAGTTTATTTGAAGCTTCTGATAACACACGATGATTGGTTTTGGAATTTCTAGGTAGAATTTTCCTCCCCACATCTGCAACCTTAGGAAACAACTCTTCATTATCAATATCTATACCATTTTCTTCCCTACCGGCTATCTCTACACTCTGCCCCATGTGGTGGTCTATTTCCACCTCCTTACTCTCTTCTAGGTTTCTCAATGCCTCAAATCGAGATGGAGTAATAATTTCCTCTGTTTCGTGAGACATTTCTTTCGGACTTCTGCTTACTTTCTTCATAGAAGCACTTGACCATTGTGATCCTGAGTTATCATTTAATATCTCAACCTCGCCTGTAACATCATCTTTAACTACCAACACATCCATTCTCTCTGGATTATTAACAACTCCTCCTTCCTTAATACCCTCCCCTTCAACCTGATTTCCCAAATCCTTCCCTTTCCCTTCACTAGAATCCAACATCACCTGTTCCTCACCATCTTCCTTCTTCTTACAAATAAGATCAGAGTGACCCCATTTCCCACAATTTGTACATTTTGTTGGCAGTCGGGGATAAGTGAACAAGATCAGAGTATCTTTACCTTCAATAGTGAAATTCATCTTCTCTGGTAGCGTCTTAGAGATGTCCGCTTTAACCATTACCTTCGCCGTTTCAAAATCTGAACAAGCAATCGTCTCTGGGTGTAGTCTATCCGGAATCCCTGCAGCACTCGATATGAAACTCAAACCCTCCCAAGAATACATGTTCATTGGAACCCCTTTTAGATGTACCCATAGTGGTGTGAGCTTCTTCTCAGATTCATTCTCCACCGGAGACCAGTTTGAAACTACCATCGGAACACCCGCGATATTCCACATACCTCGTCTGATTACCTTGTTCCTCACCGCCTCATTCGGAATCCTGATTCGCATCGTCATCGGATCAACTTCATGAACATCGATTTTTTGATCCTTTTCTCCAAAACGCCAAATCTTATTGATGATCATATGCACTTTCGCTACGTGCGGAGCAGTATCCAGAAACTGAGCAATCACAAAGTCTTCCCAAAGCGGATTAGCCCCTTTCAGAATCTCCGATGGAACTATCACTGTATGTTTCCCCTCCGAAATCGAGATATCCAAATCAAACTTCTGCAGAACCTGCTTTGGCTTAGCCACCGTGACCCAAGACTTCGGCGTGTCCTGAGGGTTCTGATGATCCCCCGGAACCACCTCCATCTCCGCCCCAGCCATCACGTAGACCCAGAAGAACGAAGAAACCAGAATCGCCTATTCGATCGCCTTATTTTCGCCTTAGCAAAAACGCAGCGTTTTCTCGACCGACCAAAAAAAACAAAATCTAATTATATTAATACTTTTGCATTATATTTAAAATGGATAAGAAGGCCATTAGAGTCCAGTAGAAATTAGAACCCATACCGAACCAAGAGATTAAAGCCCATTACAGTTAAAAACTCCCGAGAACCAAGAGACCAAACCAAGTTTTTAATTAAATTTTTGTTAGGACATTAACTAAAAGATTTTCTTGTGTATAATTTCGAATTCAAACAAGTTCGTAATATTTCTTGTCGGTTTTTGGTGTCCGCCTCTAATTCAAAAGCTTACACTTTACACCATAGAATAATTTGGGGCATTATTCATTGGTCTAACTTCAGCAAATCAAGTTCTATTAGTGAGACAAGAAAGTACACGCCTTCTTCCACTTTGGTATTTTTGTCTATATTCGCTTTAAGTATTTAATCCCAAATCTGTTACAAAATTGAAATGAAAGTGACTATTAATTATATTCAGATTCGAAAAAGCCATCTCAACTCAAAGTACCAAGCTTAATTAACAAGAACTAATTAATTTAAGTAATTAAAGAAAACGAATTTTTCTTATTCAACATGATTATTATTTAAACAAAGCAGAGCTAACCGTGAACAAAAGAATCAAAAAGGCAAAAGCATAGAGAGAGAGAGAGAAGAAGTGGAGACTTGTGTCCTTGCGGTGTTTAGCTTCTTGCTTTGGCCTTTTGTCTTTTAGGTTCTTGCCTTTTCCCGATCATTCAGACCAATCTCTCGCCTTTTTTGGCATCTTCGTCTTTCTTCTTATTCTCTTTTTTTTTTCCGTTTCTTATATTTATATCTGGTGGGATTCTTCAATCAATTCCTTGTTGTATCAGAGAGAGATGTATAATCAGTTGGCTATATCTTCTTCTTCTTCATCATCATCTTCATCATACTATGAATCGTTGAAGATTTTGGAAGCTGATGTCCAACACGCAAATACTTTGTAAGTCCTTTTCTGGGTTTTGTCTCCTTTCTCCTAAAGTTTAAGACTTTACTTTCGTTTATTGTTTTGATTAGTTGAGCTATAATTAAAAGTAGGTGAATATTGAAAACCCAGCTGAGAGGACTTTAGGTCATTTTCTGGGGGGGTTTATGTGAATCTCTTCTCATCAAAGTTAGGTTTATTTTAGGAAACTCTGATGAGTTCTAGTAAGTTCTAATTTCAGCAAATTTAACTAGTTTTTTTTAGTTGTGGTCTCTGATTGCAAAGATTAGTTGCTGCTTATTGAGAAGTTTGAGCTTATGTATATGTCTTCAGGGCAGAAGCAATTCCAATGGGAAAGAACAATGTGAGGCTTCAGATGAAACTGGTTCATAGCAACTTTGCTTCGTTATTACTCTTCTTGCTTCGGTGGATGGATCTTTCTTGCTCATGTCTGCTTCCTCGCTACTTTAACCTCTTTCATGTTCTTGTCTACAAGGTTTGTGATCTTAAAGTGTCTTCCTTTGTTAGGAGGCTTTTGATGTTTTGTCTTTAAAGTTTCAATTTTCTCAATCATCTTTGCTTGTATAGGTTCATTCTGATGGACAGCCTAAGCTTACCACGCACGGGAGGAAAGCAACCATCAGTGAATTCTATGGTAAGCAAACCTGTAACCGTTGCTGTATAATGTTTATAATGGTCTGTTTCCAGCTTTGGTCATAACGTTGTCTTGTCTTTTTGAAGGTGTGATACTACCATCACTTCAGCTATTACACAGCAACTTAGACGAGCTGGCAAATGCAGACATGGGGTTTGACCTTAAAAGACTCAGCAAGAAGATAACAAAAGAGTCTCGCAGTAGTAGATTCAGCAGTGCCGGGTTTGATCGTGAGGAAGAATGTGGAATCTGTTTAGAAACTTGCACCAAAATGGTTTTGCCAAATTGCTGCCACTCTATGTGCATCAAATGCTACCGTAATTGGTAACACACACATAGACATACCACTCTACTTTTGTAACTGATGAAGCAGCTTTCATTAAACCAATTCTCCTTTGATTTGCAGGAACTTGAAGTCTCAGTCATGCCCTTTTTGTCGGGGGAGCATGAAGAGAGTGAACTCAGAGGATTTGTGGGTGCTTGCTGGTGACAACGACGTGGTGGATACAAGGACGGCTTCAAGGGAGGATTTGTTCAGATTCTACCTCTACATCAACAGCCTTCCCAAGGATTATCCAGAAGCTCTCTTCTTGGTTTACTACGAGTATTCAAACCTGATTTAGAATCTGGACAAACAAGGCTATGTACAGATTTTTAGAAGGTAAAATGCATTGTATAGAATGTAAAACTGTGTTTTGGCTTTGAGATGATGTTGATGCAACATGCCAAAGCTCTCAGCGTTCACATGCTTTATTTAAATAACTGGTGAAATGCTACCAAAAAAGCGTGAATAAAAGCAAAGAATAAAGATCTCTTTTTCATAGTAAAAGGCTACAATGAGTCACAACAACTCCCTGAATCAGGGTGTTTGCAATAACAAATTAACTTTAACAAAAACATAGTTTACACATATATATATGCTCGACTCCAAAGACAATCATCAGCAAACAAGGTAGAGAGTAACATTGTATTAAATATTCGATGATAAGTAGTTTGATGTAGTATGCAGAGTAACTTTAAACCGGTATTGTTTAGATGCAGCAACAAAAGAAGAGACGAAGATCATCTCATATTCTTTTTTCAGTCTCCTCGCCTTCTCTTTCCGTAGTCTGCATCTCTTGACCTGGACCTATGATCATCTTCTGACATTCTTGACCTGCTTCGAGATTTGGAAGAAGATTGTCCTCTATCGTAATCTTCAGAATCACGGTGCTTATACTCGCGGTGACTATCTTTCTCTTCACGGTGGTGACTCTTGTGTCTTCTATCACCACTGCTCTCAGACCAGTCACGTTCTGTGGTAGCTCGTTCTTTATCTCGTGATGGCGGCTTCTCTTCTTTCTCTTGGTTTTCATCTTCATAGCCACCATATTCAGAACCACCCTCTTCACCACCACCTCCTCCTCCTCCACTAGCCTCGTTCCACATCCCTGCTGCATGAACTCCATTCATCCCTGAGTTACCCATCGTTCCCATTCCCGCGCCACCGAAAAATGCCGGATTAACATGAGGAGCAATCCCAACCATTCCCATTGGATTAACACCGGGATAAGGTTGAGGCATCCCGGGGTAAGCAAGACCAGGAAAGCCTCCATAACCACCACCACGACCCATGAACGTAGGATCCATCATACCAGCTCCCATCATACCCTGTGGATGCATCATACCACCAAATGCTGGACCAGCAAGTCCAGGGCCGCCATAAGGTCCAGCACCAGCACCGTTAGCCATGTTGTTCATCCCTCTGCCTCTCGCTGCACCACCCCAGTGACCTCCACGGTTTCCCATTCCTTGGCCACCACCACGTGCAAAGCCACCCCTCCCAAAGTTTCTTCCACCGTCTCCATTTTGCGTATTCATATTGTTATTGTTGTTGTTGTTACCTCGTCCCATTCCCTCATTCAGAGGCCTTCTGTTTTGCATTTGGTTTTGTCCTTGGTTCCTCCCTGTGAAATTAGCTCCCATCTGCTTCAATGTCTCAGGAGATGCAAAGGCTACAACACATGCTTTACCATTGAAAACAAACCCATTCATTCCTTCTTTGCAAGCAGCTGCAGCAGCTGAATCATAAAACTCAACCTGACAATACCCTTTGGATTTACCACTAACTCTCTCGTCGAAAAACTTGATCTCTTTGACTCTTCCATACTGAGAAAGAACACTCTCAATCTCTGCATCCGTCGTCCACCAGTGCAACTCTCCAACGAAAAGCATGGTGTTCCCATTGTCCACAACAAACGGCTGCGTCGGGCTTCTGTTCACCATTGCGCTTTGATTCACACTCGTCTGGCTAACAGGAATCTGTTGAGCACCTTGAGGAGCACCAACATAAGGGTTATGCACAGGAGGCTCAGGCACATTCACCGCGTTCCCTGAAAAACTATGTGTGTTCAACACAATAGACGTTGATCCCTGTGGATTAACTTTGTTGAGCTGGTTGGATTGGACATCAACATTCATCCCTTTGGGTCCTTGTGGATAAGCATCTGATCTCGTCTCAGGTCCACTGATCCCATTATGCCCACCATCATTACGATACTCTCTTTTAACCGCACTTTCAGACACAACTGCCATCCTCGGTTGTTCAGACACAGTACTATTCTGAGGTTGAACACTTCCACTGCCTGCACCACCGACTTGAGCTGGTGTCTGAGCTTGTTGATGAGCTTGGAAGAAACTTTCACCAACATTAACATCGCTGTAGAGATCATCGTAGTCATCATCCTCACCCATCAGCTCTTCATCAGCTAGAGCAGGAATAGTCCCGCTTCCTCCATAACCAGCGCTTTCTTGATTCATTGGATTCTTACAAAAACTGGCCAGAGAAATACAACAAGGATTAAAACAACAACATAAACTACATGAGCAATCCTTTTACATGAACAACATATTACAAGTCTGCCTATTGCCAATTAAATTAGGCTAAGATTCTTTACAACCCATTAAAGTAGACATGTGTCTGTGTACAGATTACAATTGAACTCTAAATTACACGTCCAAATAATAAATAAATAAAAAAAAACAGGAACTTTAGGTGACAGATCTGAGATTTGGGGATCTAGGTCAACATCTCTTCTCTTCATTAAACAATCTTACAAGATTGATGATATATACAATTATTAGAGATCAAATTACATACATAGATTTGATTTACAACGAAAGGGGGCTACACATAAGGTTATTCTTACAAAATCGAAACAGAAATCAACAGATCTGGGATGAAAGTTACAATTTTTCAACGAGATAACATTGGTGAAACCCTAGAAAGCCTCTGAGATCGAGGATCTTAAAAGGAAGAGAAAAAAAAAGCCTATGCTTGCTTACTTTGACTCTTGCAGCTGGGGCCTTCTTCCGTGTACGGATTCCGATAAGATCCGAGATTTGTTCGTCGTGAGGAACAGAGCTTCGGCTTGTTTTGAGATCGGAGGGAGAGAGTCGTCTTTGTGGAGGGAGGGAGGGAGATAGGAGATGTGCTTTCTTATCCGATACGAACAAAAAAATGACTTCACCTGTGGTTTTTTATCTGCCTTTTTGTCAACAGTCATTAACAAACTATTAACTACATTATTTTTTTGTAGGAATTACTGCTCTCTCTCTCTCTATTGTTTTCCGTTTTTAATACAAATTTTATTAATTTTATTATAATATCGATATTTTATGTGATTAACTGTATAGATAATTATATTTTTATATAAAAAATATATAAAATTAATTGTTTTCTTAATCTCTGTGTATAAATCTATTATGACACTTATTATGAAACAGAGGGAGTAACTTTCAGTGGATCAATAAAAAAAATTAAGTATTTTAACTATTTCCATGTCTAATTTATTCGTAAATATATAATTAATGTAACTATATACTAGTAACAATTACCTGTTTTTGTATAAATGTTTTGGTTAATAGTATATCATTTCAATAAAAAAAAATACTAGTAACAAATATTTTTAATATTTTTATGGACTTTGTCAACTTGAAACTGTGTGGTATGATTCACAGAAGAATGAACAAAACTGACTTTTACAAACTTATTTTGTTCTTTTGCTCTGTCTGAAAATGATATGATTTCTTCTACCACAGTCAAGCCTAGCTTACAATGAGTGTTTCATTCAGACAAACATTCACATGATCTATAAGAGGATGCTGGTGAATTAATTCCATATAGAAGCTTCAATTTGTTTTTTTAATACATCCCTTTGAACACTGGATTAGTACGGCAAATGCTTGCTCCACATTCCTCATACTCCTCTTTCGTTCTGCAACTCTGCAATAACAGGTACAAAACACACAGATCCATATTCAAACCAATCAGACCAAGATGACTTTTTCTTTTAACTCTAGATGTCTCTTAACCGTTCTAGTCTTTTATAACCGGTTATTTCGGTACTCTTAAGCCTTATCAGTAAAAAGTTGTTTTACATACCGCGAAAAACTCAGGAGTTGATGAAAGCACAGAGCCTCCAAACCATACAGCAAACTTTTGGACAGGGTGGCTCACCACATTAACCTCCACCGGTTGAGACTGTTGTAATAAATTGTCAACGCAGATGAAATGGGAATAATGGTTATATCTTATATACAAACAAACATATATGTTTATCGTAGATCTATCTCATACAACTTTTTTACCGTGATTTCACCACCGGTGCGTGCGTTATTAGCAAGAACACGAGCATCAACAATCTTTTTGAGATCTCTTTGTAACCTTCTTCCAAAATCTTTGAACATAGTTGAGCCTCCAGACAATACTATGTTCTGAAACGAATTTTAACAAAATTCATCAATTCCGACTATATACATCTTAAAACTCTGAAGTAAACTGTGTGTTTGAGACCTTATATAAAGCTCTTCGTGTGTCAATTGGTGCAGACTGGATGCATTTGTCTATAACAGCTGGTAAAGAAGTTGTATAATCATTGCTGTATATCTCTGGATTAAAGAAGACCTGTTAACACACAACATCTCCACATTATCATCGGTAATAAGTTAACACAAAACGAGACATAGAAAGCAGAGACAATGGTAACAAACCTCAGGTCCAAGGAATCGTTCGTATCCAACGTCACAAGTGTATGGTGCACCCGTCTTTGGCTTAACGCCTTTCCATTGTTTGATATATTTTCCTGGTTCTTTGTCGTGTTTGTTAAACTCCTGCAACCATATAATGTAAATGTTCAGTCATCTTTATCAAATTTTCATGTGCTCAGTGTCAAATCCTTTTTCATCATCCAATCATTAAATAAAAAATAGTACTATTGTTTAACTTAAACATTAACCACTAAGCATTCATTACCTTAACGATGTCTGAACAAGTGTAGCAGTACATTTCCTTCACTTTACGGGCAACATCGAATGAATCTTCCGGTGGTATGTTCTCACCTCTTTCCTACAATAAACATTGAAAATGAGAAGTTCCATGAACGTTTACATTAACTTAAACCAGTAAACACCTTCTCTAAGTAGAAAGAATTAAAACCAATTACATAAGAGGAGCAAGAGATACACATTAGTACATACACGCATGAGTTGCTGGATGAAGAGGGAAACATCTTTGCCAGCAATTGGAACCGTTCTGATACAGCTCCCAATAACATAACCTTCTGCAACAGGTACAACACGAGTCGCCCCATCTCCAACATCAACTACAACCCCTGTCATCTCACACTAAAAACACCAAGATTTTCAGACATCCTACCACAAGCAAGAACTTGGAGTCAAAGACAATGTGCGCCACTTACCTTTGAAGTTGTGTACCCAGCCGCAAGTGCAAGCACCGAGTTAACAGCAATGTAAAGCCCAGGAACATTAAAAGTCTCAAACAAAATCTCTCCAGTGTACTCTCTACTCTCAGGAGGAGTGAGAGGGCTTTCGGTGAGAAGAAAGTAATGATCTTCAGGATCACATCTCAGATAGTTAAACACACACTGCTGCCAATATCTTTCCATAGCATCCCAATCCTCAACTTGACCATGGTCGATGGGATAACGAAGATTGTAAGTACTACTAGACCGTGACTTCGCAAGAGCTTCGTCTCCTATAAAGAAGTCCATATCAGCCGCAACTCCAGCGTTGTGCTGAGCTGCCCAAGAGCCCTTTAGAGAACTCTTGGGTTGGCTTAAGAAAGACTCGTTAGCTGCAACTACTGTTGGGAGAATGAAACATGGTTCTACATTTCCCGCAAAACCCATCTTTGTATATCTGAAAACACACACACAAACACATACAAGCAAGTGAATCTAACGTGAAAAGGAAGCATTTTTCTCGAACCCATTAAGGGTATAAAGTTATGAAACGTACCCGGTTCCATTGTCGATGACAACAGCGGGTCGAGAAGTCGGATCCATTATGGTAGAAACAGAGATCGGAAACAGAGTCAAGAACGAGTGAACAGTAGAAACGTTGGAGTTTCGATCTGTGTGGCAAAATCAAGGATCAGAACAGAAACTAAACTAGTCTCTTCTTCTTCTTCTCCGACACCGGAAGTTTGAGATTCCGGCAAGATTCTGGCACTGATAAATAATGTAGGGAAGAGAAAATATAATTAATTTCCGCGGAAAAAAGAAAATCAGAGATTCCCGTGAAATTCAGGGGAAACCTTTGGTTCAGAAACTCAGATCATAGGGAAAGTCGCCGTCGTCGGTTTGTACTTTAGCGTGTGAGATTCTTTCAGACAGAACAAAACAAATGGACTAATGTTAAAAACTTTTCTTCTTCCTGATGTTAATTCGGTTTAACTGAACCAAACCGAATCGACAACCAAAAAACCAAACAAATTTTAATAAAATTGAACCAGCTCGAAATGGAAAAGACTGTAAATTTCAATATTATATTGAGAATTCGGCCAAAAAAAGCACCAACTTTGCACGAATGGCCAAAAGAAACTGTACTCGAGTCTGGCCAAAAGAAATCTGAACTTTTGTTGACTTTATTAGTTTATTAAGAAACTTACGATTGACTCGCCATTTTAACACACCGTTAACAAACCGTTAAGACGGTGTTAAGTCGGACGTTAGGATGAAACGACGTCGTTTTAAGCTATTTGAAAATAAAAAACGTAGACCACTGGAATCGAACCCGGGTTGATTGAATTAAGTGGCAAGGTCGTTTACCACTAGGCTAGTGGCACATTCAATGTATCTACTAACACATTTAGTTATATTTGGTACTGACTGAATATTAAAAAAATTCTATAAAAACTTTAAAAATCTTTAAAATTTCAAAACAAATGAAAAATAAAGAATTTTTTTATAAAATTAATTTTGAAATTAAAATTAAAATAAAATTTT